CCTCCTGCCCCACATCTCTGCCGGGTTCTGAGCTGTCCCGGGGTGGGGGGGGGCCCTCATGCCTGTGGTTTCACCTGCGCTTCGCATCAGAGGAGGCGCTCGGGGCGATGGGGTTGCAGATAAGGGAGTGTTTTCTTCCTCCCCTGCAGGAGAGAAAACAGCAGCTCCGTGACCTGCGAACGCCCCAGCCCAAGGTCACATCCCCCAGGGCTCCCGAGCCAGAGCGGGGCAGCAACACCCCAGCGGGGGATTTAGTCCCTTTGGGGGAGGGATGTCCCCTGGGGGTGTCAACAGCCACCACAGGGCTCCTCTCTGCTCCCACAGGCTGCGACTCGGGCTTTGGACAAGCCACAGCCCAGCATTTGGATGCCATGGGCTTCCGGGTGTTCGCCAGCGTGCTGGACCCCCAGGGGGCCGGTGCCCAGGAGCTGCTCAGGAGCTGCTCCCCGAGGCTGACGCTGCTACAGATGGACCTGACCAAGCCTGAGGACATCCAGCGTGTCCTGCAGCACATCCAGGCCCACACCAACAGCACAGGTAGGGAGACCTTGGCTCATCCCACCACCCTGCAGCTCCCTGGGACCTCAGCTTAGTTGGGGGGGGGACCAGGATGGCAGGTCCATGTGCCCCCATCTCCCCACTGAGGGGCTGCATCCAAGCCCGGAGCACCCTGCAAGTCCTCATGATGTGGGGAAGGGCAGGGTGGGGGGTCCTGCCCCATGGAATGGGGGGGGTTTAACTCTTTGAGCATCCCATCCCCACAGGGCTCTGGGGGCTGGTGAACAACGCCGGCTTCAACGACACCATCGCCGACGCCGAGCTCTCGCCGCTGGGCAAGTTTCGGGCCTGCATGGAGGTGAACTTCTTCGGCTCGTTGGAGCTCACCAAGGGGCTGCTGCCCCTGCTCCGCTCCGCCGGCGGCCGCATCGTCACTGTCAGCAGCCCCGCAGGTGAGCACGGCCACCGGCCACCCCACCACCCCAACTCGGGTGGTTGTGGCTTGTGGTTGATGCCCCCAACCATGGGTCTGGTGTGGCTTCCAGCCCATCCAGACATCTCCACTGCCAGCCCCACCAGGCTGGCACCATGAGCCCCTTTCCTTGGGTAAAGATGGGGAGCGCAGCCCTATGCAAGCCCCCCCCCCAGCACACCAGCAGCTCCTCCCTCAGCCCTTCTCTGTTGGAGTGGGACCAGAGGAGGCCACCGCATGAAGGTCAACTAGACCAAGTGTAGGGTCCTGCACCAGGGTCAGGGCAACCCAAGCACAAATCCAGGCCGGACAGAGAGCAGTCCTGAGGAGAAGGACTTGGGGGTGTCGGTGGAGGAGAAGCTCCACACACATCCCCAACCTGCGCTGGAGCCCAGAAACCCCCCGCACCCTGGGCTGCATCCCCAGCCCCGTGGCCAGCAGGGAGAGGGAGGGATGGGGGGGATTCTGCCCCTCTGCTCCGCTCTGGGGAGACCCCCCCCAGTGCTGCCTCCAGCTCTGGGGCCACCAACAGCAGAAGGACATGGAGCTGTTGGAGCGGGGCCAGAGGAGGCCCCGGAGATGCTGGGAGGGCTGGAGCCCCTCTGCTGGGAGGGGGGGCTGAAAGAGTTGGGGGGTTCAGCCTGGAGAAGAGAAGGCTCCAGGGAGACCTTCCAGCCCCTTCCAGTCCCTAAAGAAGGGGGGCTCCAGGAAAGCTGGGGAGGGACTCTGGATCAGGGAGGGGAGCCACAGGAGGAGGGGGAAGGGTTTGACCCTGCAAGAGGGGAGATGGAGCTGAGATGTGGGGAAGAACTTGTTTGGTGGGAGGGTGGTGAGAGCCTGGCCCAGGTTGGCCAGAGAAGCTGTGGCTGCCCCATCCCTGGAGGGGTTCAAGGGCAGGTTGGAGGGGGCTTGGAGCAACCTGGTGTGGTGGGAGGTGTCCCTGCCCAGGGCAGGGGGTGGCACTGGGGCAGCTTAAAGGTCCCTTTCAACCCAAACCCTTCTACGATTCTCTCCTGCAAGGTGACCTGCCCTTCCCCTGCCTGGCAGCCTACGGGGCCTCCAAGGCAGCCCTCAGCCTGCTCATGGACACCTTCCGCAGCGAGCTCCAGCCCTGGGGTGTCAAAGTCAGCCTCATCCTGCCCGGTTACTACAAAACAGGTAAGAGGGTCAGCACCCACTTGCTGCCTGCACCCATGGGCAAGTACCCCACAGGAGGCAGACGGAGCCATGGCAGGAGCAGGCGGTGACACAGGATGCACCTTCTGAGCATCCCCAGCCACCTCCCTGGGGATGGTGGCCATCCTGTGGCCTTTGGGCTCCCAGTTGGCAAGAGGGAGGGTCAGGAGCACGCCCTGCCAGCAGATCCTCCACCGCTGGGGCTGGCCAAACCAGTTCTGCCCCATTTTATGGTAGCAGGATCCAAGTCCTCTGGTCCAGTCCTGGGCTATGAAGAGCCACCACGGTGCTCCCATCATGGCCGGGATTTCACAGGACCTTCCTGGGAGGGGACTGGGGGCTGCTGGAGGAGGGGAGGGGGGGGCCACACAGCTCACACCTGGCGGGGGGCCGCGTCCTTGCAGGGACGACGTGCGACCCTGCCTTCTGGAACCTGCAGAAGCAACGGCTGGTGGCCAGCCTGCCCCAGGAGCTGCTGCAGGCCTACGGCGAGGACTACGTGGAGGAGATCAACCGCCAGTTCATCCAGTTCATGAAGGTGGCGGTGGAGGACCTCAGCGCGGTGGTGAACAGCATCACGGACGGGCTCCTGGCTGCCAACCCAGCCGTGCGCTACTACCCGGGGCAGGGCCTCGGGCTGATGTATTTCATACACCGCTACCTGCCCTATTTCGTCCGAGACTTGTTCTTGAAAGGGTTCTTCATCAACCCCAAGCTGCCCCGAGCCCTGCGGCGAGAGCACCACGACCACGCCAAGAAGGCCTGACCCAGGTCCGCCTGCGGTCGCGGGGCAGGAGCCAGCCTTCTCCCGGGACCCCCGGGGACACCGGCCCCCGAGCGCGTGCGCAGCCGTCGGCGTCGCCCTCCTGCACCGCGGGGGAACCGTGGGCACCAGCCGGCACACACCAAATCGCTTTCCCAAATCAGGCAGATCTCTTTTCTATCGTGCGAGAATCAACGTTTTCTAGAGACCTCGGGTTTGTATTTTTTCTAACCGCGCGTCCTCCTCCGAGGGGGCCGCCCCTGCCTGACTCGCCAGCTCCACACCACGGGCCGGGACGGACCTCAGGCATTTCCCAGCTGCCCATCATCTTCCTCCCTGCCCTGGGAGCCGTGGGCCTTCGTCTCCATCCCCTCTTGGCTGGGTCAGGCCCGGGATCCCGTGGCCACCACCTCCCTGCCCTTCCCTACACACTCCACGTGCCCCGGGCGAGCGCGGGGGCCGAGGCCGGGCTGCGGAGCTCTTCACGAGATGAACTACGTGATTGTCACTTTTTAAATAAATCTGTTCTTGATACGCCACCGGGCTCTGGCCGTCTCCTTCCGGGGTGTAGCGCTGTGATGCTCGGGCAGGGATGGGGCCCAGCTGGCAACCACACCGAGCACGGTGGCAGGAGCCTCGCGTGGGGCAGAGGACTCCACCACCAGCCCCAGGAAAGGGGACAAGCCACCAGGAAAGAGCTCGCATCCACTCCCAAAGCCTCCCTTTTGCTTTGCTTCCAGGGTGGGGTGAGGATGGAAGGAGGAGGGCAGTGCCACACACGGGAAGTCCAGGCACAGGGGGACTTGGCCAAGCCAGGGGACGTGCCAGCAGCTCCCCACCCACCTGGCTCGCTGCCCTACGGCCACATGAGCAGCAAGGGCTACATCTCCTGGGCACCTACCAGTTCCAGCTTGGGCTGGGGTTAGTGCCCAGGGCCCCCAAGGGGTGGCACGACCCCTGCTTCCCAGCCCCAAGTCATGCAGGAGCCATGACACTGTGTCCCCAAAGCAGAGACAGGCTCCTCTTGGGGACATGGGAGGAGGTGCCCGAGTAAGCAGGGAGAGCAGAGTGCAGGAGGAAGATATTTATTGGTGCAAAGAGGAGGGGGATCACAGGTTAAACAAACACTGCAGAGGTGACCACAGCACAAGCTGGGATGGAGCCGCTCTCCACCCATCCCTCCCAGCACGTGTTCTCCACCAGCGAGGTCTCTCCGGTGCCACGCCACCACGGGGCATCTCCCAGATCTCAAGGACAAGTGGGATCTCGCCTGGACGGAGAGGAGCAAGGAGCAGGGCTGCCAGGCTGTGCCCAGGGCTTGGCTCCCACTCCCTAACCACAGAGGGGCAGGGCCGGGACAGGGCGTGGGACATTTCTGCCACCAGCCACCCTCAGGGTGACCAAGAGGAGCCAGAGCCAAGGGCTGCCCTGCCCAGTGGCTCCACAGCAGTGCCAGCCTGGTCACTGGGAGGGGGCTGCACCAGCCTGGATGTGCGGGGGTCCAGCACCATCCCCAGAGCCAAAGAGGAGCTCCAAGCCATGGGTCTTGAGGGGAGGAAGGATCTCATGCAGCTTATGGAGCCCTTTCAGGCTGCAGGGCAGGAGGGAAACTGGTGAGAGCTGCTCCCGAGGCCACACTAGTGCAAATGCTGGTGGAGCAGGGAGGAACATGGTCCACCAGCACATGTCTGGAGCCAGCAGTCTGGCTCTGCCCTGACCTTCCCACAGGCTCCGTCCCAGTCCTGGCCAGGGCTGCCCAGTATCTCCCAGGTCAGAGTTAGCTCCAGGGGGAGGCAGGGATTGCATAGCAGCAGGGGCTACGCGACAAAATTACACTCCAACTAAATCTCACAAGAACAACATCGACTAGGAGGCGTGCAGAGCACTGAGGGAGAGGACAACCCGGCCGTGGTGGACCCGGTACCTTCCTCTGTAGCAGCGGGAACCCCTTGGAGACAGCAACCCCCCCAGCTGGTGCTTGCTCTACCAGCAATAAGCACAGACAGACGATGAGTAGAGTAACACGGGGACTATGGGATACACAACAGGAGTGTCCCCTCCTGCTACACAGGGCCAAGCCTGTGGCACTGCTCCCTCCGGACCCCTCACAGCACACACAACGCAAACTTCAGCTCGTCAATAATTTAACTAGCGACTGTACAGTTTCCTCATCTGAGCCAGTTCCACAGATGGGACATCCCCGGCGCCTGGGGAGTGAAGACAGGGGGTCCCTCCAGACTCCAGGGGTGGGAAGGTTGGATGGGAAAGAGAGCGGGGTTAGAAGATGGGGATGTAGTTGTCGATCTTGGTCCTGTGCCGCTGGGCGATGCACTCCGCGATCCACACGATGTTGCGGCACTCCTGCTCCTTCAGCTTCACGAAGGCGTAGAAGACTCCAAAGTGGAACTGGTTGAGGAAAGCCAGCTTGTTCAGCTTCACCTGGGGAGAGCCCAGAGGAGGACATGTCACTTTGTCCACCTCAGATGGGAGGAGCTGGGCAAAGCAAGGCTGGAGGGCTCAGCACAGGGGTAGTGCTCTGCGCCTCTCCAGGTCCTCGGGGCAGCTCTAACCTACAGCACATGGCTCGGGACAGGCTCTGACACTTCAAAATTCTCCTTTCCCACATAATTACACTCTGGTTTTGCTATCGATGCACCAAACACCCACCAGCAGCCCCAAATTTACCTCCCACGCTGCTCTAAGCTGTCTGGGTGAGAACATGAACCGAGAGCACCGTGCTGGGTCCCCGTTCACTCACTGGAGCATCCTTTTCCTCTCCCCAAACTCTGCTCCTCCACAGCACCGCTGATGGGGCACACGACAAGCCTTCTGCTCCCCTGAGCTTTGCAAATGCCACAGGCCAAGAAACATTTTGGGGTTCACTCACCTCATGCTCAAAGAACCTGTCTTCAAGGGTCTTGTCTCCGGGGTTGCTGCCAGCCCCTTCAAATAGCAGCTTGTACTCCTGCAGGAGGACGTTACAAGAGGTTATACTCAAACCCTTCCAAGCTCAGCAGCATTCCTGGGCCCCGTACATCAAACAGACACCCCAGCCACCATGGCAGGTCAGCAGAGGACATGGAGAAGCCAGGAGTCCGCCCTGTGCACACACTAGTAACAGGATGCTACTGGGGCTGCACCGTGCACACACCAGCTGGAGGCAATCCCCAGAAAGGCAGAGAAAGCTTTTTTTTTTCATCCATGAGCTTGTCCAGCCAGAGATTCTACCCCTCCTCTGAAATGTGTGGCTTTCAAAGCCATATTGTCACTTGGAGCCAGTAGGGAGGATGCACCAGGTACAGACCCCTCCACGTACAGACCAGAGTGTTTGGGCCAGACTCCTCTGCCCACAAACACTGGCACGTGCCCTGGTTGCTTCAGCAAGGGGACACCGAGCTCTGACTCCAAACAGGCCCCCCAGCCACACACGAGAGCAGCTTAAGGAACCTGGACACATCCAATTGTGTCCTCCCGGGTCAGTGTCTCCCCCACAACTGAACCAGAGCTCAGAGCGACCCACTAGATGTGGCACCACTTCTCGCTGAAGACATAGAATCAGAGAATCATTCAGGTTGGAAGAGACCCTTGGGATCATCAAGTCCAACCATCTACCCTACTCTACATAGTCCTCCCCTACACCATATCCCTCAGTACCCCATCTAAACGTCCCTTAAACACATCCAGGGATGGTGACTCAACCCCCTCCCTGGGCAGCCTGTTCCAATGCCCGAAAATGGCAGTACTTTTCCCTATTCCCCCCCACCAACCAGCCAAAAAGAGACTGTCACTGCAGCCACACCAATATCTCAAGGGTTTGGTGGTGAGGGCAGTCCCCACATCCTGGGCTGGTCTCCATATAACAAGCCAACAGCATCCCAAACAAGCCAAGCAGAGCACAGGACCGACAGCAGCAGCAGAAGACAGAAGGAACCCCCTTCCCAGGCTGTCAATCCACAAGTTCCCCTCAATCCCTGAGAAGCTCTGATCCAGAGCAGGTCATAGAATCACAGAATGGTTTGGGCTCCCCTCAATCCCTGAGAAGCTCAGATCCAGAGCAGGTTTGGGTTGGAAGGGACCTCAAAGATCATTGAGTTCCAACCCCCCTGCCATGGGCAGGGACACCTCCCACCAGAGCAGGTTGCTCAAGGCCACATCCAGCCTGGCCTTGAACCCCTCCAGGGATGGGGCATCCACAACTTCCCTGGGCAACTTCCCCAGGTCCTTGCACCAGTCCCCACAGCCCTCACCCCAAAGCACTTACGGGGTAGTAGTCGGCAACATTTTTGACTTGTTCGTAGTCATCTGCTCTGGCCAGCTGAGCCAGGCCCTCAGGGTAGAGCTTGCCACAGTGAGGGAACAGCTTTGCTCGGTCCTCCTTGGACAGCTCAGTACCAAATGAGTTGATGGTGATGATGAAGGCTCTCCGGTCGGCTTCGAACTGTTGGGAAAAGAAGAGAGGTTCCACCTTGGGATGCAGCATCTTTGCCTGAGGCTAGCAGATACTGATGCTGCTCTGAACAGAGACACATCAGAGGGCAGTGTGAGCAAGCTGCCTATGACACACATGGCTATTCAGTGCTTAGCCAGGGCTGGCTACTTGTGCAGGCTCCCAGTATGCCCAGTAACCAATGCCTGGGGAGCAGTCAGGTGAGGAAGTTCCCCAACCCACTAAGCAGGACCCTGCCCAGGTCAAGAAGTCTCTCTCACCTACTGCCCCCAAGGCCTTCCCATCCCACAGCTGGCCTTGCCATGGCGACAGGCCGGGCACCAAACAGCTCTGGCTGTTCCCCTGCTCATTATCCATGCCATGAAGGCAACAGATGGGTTAGCACATGCCAAGATCGGGCAGGTTTGGTTCCCCAGTCCTAGTGTTTTCCTAGGTCTTCCAGTGAGCAGACAGAGTCTGCATGGGGATGCTGAAGAAGATCTTGAGCATCCTCGGTGCTCACAGGCAAGCTGGGCCTGAGCACCAAGCAATGAGCATCACTGCAAGCCCACCCAGCTACAGGGGGTTCCAGACATACCTCCAGGATTGGGCACATGGCATCTGCCGTGGTACCTCCCAGCACCTTGCAGAACTTGTAGAAGGACTCCAGGTAAGCCTAGAAGGGAGAGGGCAAATGAAGACTTTTCTACACAGGTTTGTCTGTGCTCCACAGGACCGCGCAGGAGGGGACAGACAGACAGCGAGCAGGGAAGCTCCCAGACACAGCACAGGCATTCTCACCCCAAGTGAACTTGGATGCCAAGCCCACACAAGGGACAGTGCTTCCCCAGGAGCTGGAGACATGAAGGGTTGTGGTTGGGTTTGTTCAAGTGACTGTATGAGTTACTGCACACAAGATCCCCAGGCAGCAAGGGAGAGAGTCTATTTTGCTCTTTTGAGCCGTCTAACTCTGAAGTATCACATGGTTTCCTGACCCCACTCTGGCCTCCACAAACATGCCAAGCCACACAACTATAGCTGCAAGAACCTACGCTCCGAAAGTACCGCTGTGTAAGCAGGGTCAAGAGATGAGACAGGACATCTGTGAAGTAAACCAGCCACTCTCTGTAATTCTCTTTTTACACTGCAGCCGCTTGGTCTCCATCCCAAGCGGAGCACCGCAGAAAACACATCAGACTAGGGCCTCCAGGAAACGTAATCCTTTGTCGAGATGTTCCGTAATCCAGCTGGAAGATGACTGTATCTCCCAGGGGGAGGCCCATGAAGGCAGTGCATGGCTAAAAGTGCTGTTCAGCAAAAGCTTTTTTCAGAAGGAGCCATCATGTGATAAAATACCTCCCTGGACAGAGAGCTGCAACCAGAATCAGTCAAAAGGGATGGAATAAAGCGATGCTGAGCCGTCATAAATCTCTGCTTTGTCACAACAGCTCCAGGACTGTTGTGTCTATCCAGGAAGATAGACCAAGAATGCACATGTCAAACACCCTCAGCCTCTGCACGAGGAAAGTACCTGGATTCCTGTGCTCTGTAGCTATTTGCTACTGCAAGGGGACACCGCTGGGTGAGCATCACACACCAAAGAAACGTTGGCTCTGGCACTCGGCGCTGCTCCAGCGGAGGAGAGCAGGGAGCATCAGCCTGCAGTTACCACGGGAACAAGGACACGGATAACGGACTTTGCTTCTGAGGCTGAAAGAAGAGGGAACCTGGATACGAGGTTCTGTCACTACCTCTGCCCTTCTCAGAGTCCACACCCAAACTTCAGGCTTTAGAAGCAAAACCAGGTGAACTCGAACACCCAGTGGTACCTGTGAAGTTCCTTCCGGTTGGCTCTGGCACTCGGGGAGGAGAGCAGGGAGCATCAGCCTGCAGTTACCACGGGGACAAGGACACGGATAACGGACTTTGCTTTTGAGGCTGAAAGAAGAGGGAACCTGGATACGAGGTTCTGTCACTATTACCACGGGAACAAGGACACGGATAACGGACTTTGCTTCTGAGGCTGAAAGAAGAGGGAACCTGGATACGAGGTTCTGTCACTACCTCTGCCCTTCTCAGAGTCCACACCCAAACTTCAGGCTTTAGAAGCAAAACCAGGTGAACTCGAACACCCAGTGGTACCTGTGAAGTTCCTTCCTTTTCTGCCCTTAGGAACAGATTGCCTTGTAGAGAGACACTTGCTCAGGTCAACCATAACCCAGGATTTCATTGAGTAGTAGAACAGAGCAAGGAGATGCTCAGTGTATAGGCAGTACCTCCTGTACCTCCTTGCCTCTCCCACACATCACTCCACATTGATTTGCCCACTATATTTTGTTGTCCGGTCACAAAGCTCCTTTCTACAGGAAAGGCACCAGCAAAGGCCAAAGTCAGCCAGCTTCACTTCAACACACCCACTGAAGATGTAGAAAAAGGGGAGTAAGCTTTGAAGATAACAACGCCAGCACAGCTCCATCGCAGAACTCCACTGCTGAGCACCTTCTACACCAAGAGCACACCACTTAGTTTTAACCTCTCTTTAACCTGCTCTTGTGGCCAAGAGGCCACCAGAATCCTGGGCTGCGTAGGGAAGAGTGTGGCCAGCAGGTCAAGGGAGGTCATTCTCCCCCTCTACTCTGCACTGGGGAGGCCACAACTGGAATCCTGCCTCCAGTTCTGGGCTCCCCAGTTCAAGAGGGACAGGGAACTGCTGGAAAGAGTCCAGCGTAGGGCAACGGAGATGATTCAAGAATTGGAGGATCTCCCTGGTGAGGAAAGACTGAGAGAGCTGGGACTCTTTAGTCTGGAGAAGAGAAGGCTGAGGGGAGACCTTATTAATGCTGACAAGGATCTCAAGGGGGGGTTGAAGGAGGATGGAGCCAGACTCTTTTCAGTGGTTCCCAGTGACAGGACGAGGGGCAACGGGCACAAGCTGGACCATGGGAAGTTCCACTCCAATGTGAGGAAGAACTTCTTCACGGTGAGGGTGGCAGAGCCCTGGCAGAGGCTGCCCAGGGAGGGGGTGGAGTCCCCTTCTTTGGAGATTTTCAAGACCAGCCTGGATGCTCCTGAGTAACATGCTCTGACAAGCTCTAGGCAATCCTGCTTTAGCAGGGGAGTTGGACTAGATGATCTCTATGGTCCCTTCCAACTCTAAAAATTCAGTGAAATTCAGTGAAACCTCCCCATCTTAACCATATTTCCATTCAAGAACCTTCTCACTTGTCACTCCTGACGAGAAACCTTTGTAACTGCTTTCCTCCTATGAATCCTGTTGGAACATTCTGTCTACTTGCTCGCAGATTCCTTTAAAAAAACAAACCTCCAGAAGGTCGGGGAGGTGGCACTGCCCCTCCCATGCCAGCTCCTCCTGGACACAGGTATCCATCCCAGGCACCTGCCTGCTGTGTTCCTCAGGGCAGCTCTGTGCAGATTGCAAACCTGATTTTATTTCCTTCATTTGCCTATGAAGACCATTTGCATCCTATTATATGTTTTCCAGTCCTTGGGGAGAAAGGTGGCTTCAAGTGAGAGTCTGGAAGGGGCAGTTACCTTTTTCACCCTTGTGATTCACCCCGTGATTTGTTACCGACGGAGCCCTCGTGCTCCCCGGGGGCTGCTCTTTAGCAAGAACCAGTCCCAGCACTGGCCAAAAGACACCAGGCACCTACCTAAATTGGGAGGTAGGAAGAACAGAATGCAAGGCAGCATCAGGCCTCGAAAACAAGATGGGAAAGGACTTGGCAGCTGAGACCCAAGGAGACAGCACCCCTTACCCTGTGCCTTCTCCATCTCAAGGCAGAGGCTGCGGGTGTTTATGCGTACAGGCGTACTCCCTCCCTCCCCCAGTACAGCCAAAAGACCAGTACACGCCAGAGGCCACGGGCAGCTGGGCATGACTGCTGACACGCAGCTCCTTCTCCCCTCCCTTCGCCTTCTTCCCTTCACGCCTGACCTGTTCTCCCCCTCTCCAAAGGGGCCAGGCCTTCCTCGGGAAGCAGAGGTCACAGCGACTGCGGGCCGGCTGCGACCAGCCAAAACAAGGCCACCAGATACCATCTGCATCCCACCCTTCATCCAGAGAGTGGAGATGGAGCGATAGCCACAGCCTGCACATAAACACCTGCTTTGACTGCCAGCTAAAACCAGAAAAGGCCTGCAGAGGAGACACCGGTTCCCTCGGCAGGCTCAGGACAAGAAGAACCTTTGCCCCTCCACATTGTGGTGCCTGCAGGACTCTTCCACCCCCTCCACCAAGAGCATCTAACCCCAACCACACAACTGAAGGCTTGAGCAAACCCTCGGAGGCTCTTCTGAAAAAGCTCAAGACAAAAAGCTCAAGACAGAATCTTCTAGGTTGGAAGGGACCTTAAAGATCATCTTGTCCAACCGTCAACCTAACTGACAAAAATAGACACCCACACAACAAACAAGAAGCATCACCATCACTAAACCAGACCTCCCAGCACTACATCAACCCGTCTTTTGAACACCTCCAGGGATGGTGCCTCAACCACCTCCCTGGGCAGCCCATTCCAATGGCTGAGAACCCTTTCCGTGAAAAAATGTTTCCTAATATCCAGCCTGAACCTCCCCTGGCGCAACTTGAGGCCATTTCCTCTTGTCCTGTTGCCTGTGACTTGAGAGAAGAGACCAACCCCCACCTCTCTACAACCTCCTTTCAGGGAGTTGGAGAGAGCAATAAGGTCTCCCCTCAGCCTCCTCTTCTCCAGGCTGAAAGTCCATGGAAGCCATTCAACCAAGTTTAGGATCAAGCCACTGGAGTCCTCTGAATGCAGTTAACGACACATCTTAACTCTGTGTAATTAAAGAGCAGCTTTCTCCATCCATCTGGGGCCTGAGGAAATTTATTCAAAGGCAGGACCTCTGCAAAAATATTTTTGCACAGACTCTCGACAGCCTGACAGCTCCAAAAAGCAAACCCACTCTGGTGCCCTGCCTGCAGAGCTGGCAGACTGGATGTCAGGCTCCAGGAAGAGCACTATCCTGACTTTCCAGTGGCTGCAACTACTTCTTGGTCACATTCGCTCTATTCCAGGGAAGAAAACAGAAAGAAAGCAAATTTATTTTTATATCCACTCTAAGAGGAAAATACCCTCTCCTCTTTTGCTGAAGAAAGCCAGCCCAGGTCATAGCTCTTGACTCAAGACAGAGCTGTAGTCATGCTAGGAATAAACCGGGAAGTTAACATCTCCTTCCCTTCCCAGAGGCTCATTTACCTTATACAGCGTGTTTCGAATGATTTCGATGTTCATTTCATCCAGGTCCTGTTCATATATGCAGTCTTGGAAGAAAGCAGCTGAAACAGAATCACACAGTTAGCATTTCCCTAACCAAGTCCTGTATCCAGCACTTTCCATAGTCCCCAACAATAACCCCACAGAAGCACACCCTATGTTGAGCTTGTCCCTCCTAGCCCTGGTCCTTATCTTCAGCAGTCACCAAATTGCCATGACTCCAAAACCTCAGGCTCCACCACAGGTCCTCAGGCCACAATCATTTTCAGAGCTCTCACACCAGCCTATTCTTCAGCAGAATTTTTCAGCTCTAGCCTCCAGCATCAGCGCCAGAGCAGCTAGTATTTAAAATTAAGCAAAACCCAAACTGTTCCCAGAAGCAGGGACTCTGAGGTGACTAGACAGCTTCCCAAATGTCTGCAACAGCACGGCAGCAGCGCTCCAGCATCCACAAGACAACAGCTAGTGAGTCCTGAGAAAGTTGCTGCTTCTCCCTCCTTCTCCAACACCTTAGTTGGATTAAGGAGGCACGGGGATGCCACAGCTCCTACAGCCCACGACACTCCGTGGTTGGAGCCAGGAGCTGTTTCCCTCAGTCAGGTCTATCAGTCCCATTTTGCACTTTTTCCAAGGCATTTTATTTCTCCAGCTGGAGGTAAGCAACAAGAGACAGGACGAAGGAGTGGGTTTTGGTAGGATGCTCAGCATTAGGTACTTTTCCTGAGTGTCTCTGGGAGGAAGTTTGAGAAGTTGTTGCCACTGAGAGAACACAGGTTTCAGACCTCACACAGGGCACTGCGAGCTGCAGATAAAGACAAGTTGTGTACCTTTAGTGTAACGTAAAGCTGTTGTACCCCTCGCTCATTACCAAGTGCTAATAAACCCACAGGGTTTTTATGACTTTTTTCAGCTCTCGCTCAGCACCCAACTTTGCTGAATTTGCTACCTAGAGAAATCTGATCGTTCTCAGCTCCTGCAGCCCAGCTGCAGGCAAAGGACTATGCACCCAGCACCGAGACCTCACCGGCGCTCTGCTGTGTGCCACCAACCAGGGCTGATGGTGCTCTGCTTTGGGCCACCAACCAGGGCTGATGCACGCTCACACCTCTGGTGTGCACCACTCTATAGCCCAAGCTCCCTGGCACGGAGAGCACCGTGGGTCTGGAGAGCCCTAAACAGGGGTTGAGCCCCAGGGAGGTTTCTTTGCAAGAGCCCCAGAGAGCAGTGCCACGTAGCTGGGGGGAGCACCGCTCCCGACGGCCGGCAAAAATGGAAACGGAGTGTGCCAGGACTGGTTTTCATGGCAGGACTCACTGGCTGGCCTCGATAGCTAAGCAGTGGCTACTTCAGAGTAGCAGAGGAATGAGAACACAGCTATTTCAGTTCTTGGCCCTCCAATATCCCAAATTAGGCTAACGGCAAGTCTTATTTTGCCCTGCTAACCTATGAAAGCCATTTGGGGTTAGGCATTCCTACCAAGCCACGTAGCTACTCAAGTACTTTTAGGAGATAGAGCTGCTGTTTCTTTGCGTGTGGTCACTGGAAGGAGTGCAAGTTAAACAACTGGAGCCCGCGTGCCTGCTTGTTTAGGCAACACGGCTACTCCCCACGTTCTCCTGATGAAGAAATGCCACACTAGGTGGTACATGGACTCAAGGGCACAGCCAGGGCACAGGCCTGAAGAACAACTCAGCCTAGCCAGGACAGAAGCAGGCCAAGCTTGAAAGGTGGGCCCGTGCCAACCTCATTAAGGTCAACAAATCTAAGTGCCGGGTCCAGCTCGTGGGTCGGGGCAATCCCAAGCACCAATCCAGGCCGGAGAGAGAATGGCTGGAGAGCAGCCCTGAGGAGAAGGACATGGCAGTGTTGGTGGAGGAGAAGCTCAATATGTCCCAGCAACCTGTGCTGGAGCCCAGGAACCCCCCACACCCTGGGCTGCATCCCCAGCCCCGTGGCCAGCAGGGAGAGGGATGGATGGGGGGGATTCTGCCCCTCTGCTCTGCTCTGGGGAGACCCCCCCAGTGCTGCCTCCAGCTCTGGGGCCACCAACAGCAGAAGGACATGGAGCTGTTGGAGCGGGGCCAGAGGAGGCCCCGGAGATGCTGGGAGGGCTGGAGCCCCTCTGCTGGGAGGGGGGGCTGAGAGAGTTGGGGGGGTTCAGCCTGGAGAAGAGAAGGCTCCGGGGAGACCTTCCAGCCCCTTCCAGTCCCTCAAGGGGCTCCAGGAAAGCTGGGGAGGGACTCTGGATGAGGGAGGGGAGCCCTAGGAGGAGGGGGAAGGGTTGGACCCTGCAAGAGGGGAGATGGAGCTGAGCTGTGGGGAAGAACTTGTTTGGTGGGAGGGTGGTGAGAGCCTGGCCCAGGTTGGCCAGAGAAGCTGTGGCTGCCCCATCCCTGGAGGGGTTCAAGGGCAGGTTGGAGGGGGCTTGGAGCAACCTGGTGTGGTGGGAGGTGTCCCTGCCCAGGGCAGGGGGTGGAACTGGATGGTCTTTAAGGTCTCTTCCAACCCAGACCATGCTATGATTCTATGTAGAAATGCACAACCACAAGAGGTCAAGTCCCTCAATTGGCTCCCTCAATAGGGCATTTTCATTCCAAATACAGCTGGAAGATTTAAGGTCTCTGAGAGATTATAACTTTGAAATAATCTATTCTATCTTATTCCCAAAATGGGAAGGTTCCCACTTACTTGTGAGAAGGATTTTCTGCCCATACATCATCCCTACAGCAGGCTCAGCTCAGCTGCCTGCAAAGCCTCAGCTCTCCTGCTGCCACGCTGTCCTACCTTGCAACCCAGAACAAGACATGTTCTCCACCTTTGCTGAGCTCTAGCTGGCAAGTCATTTTGCCATGGCAACTACTTCACTTGCCCCATTATTAGACAGAGCATTTGCAAAAGCACTTTCAGTTCCAAAACCAACTATTTCCATCAATGACAATATGATGATTTAGAGTGTTTTGTTCTTTCTAGCAACCCCAAAAGAATGATTAATCACTGACTCAGGCGTGCTTCATCAGGTTTTTGCCCACAGATGCTAACCTAGAAAGTCTCCTGCGACTACCTCTCCTACTACTGCAAAAAGATGTCTGTATTTTCTTCAGAACCACTTCCTGCCCCTTTTATCTTTAAAGAACATACCTGCCTGACTGTTCAGACACTTGGTTTCAGTGTCATGTGTCTCCTGGTCAAGGCTTGTAGCCCTGAGACAGTATAACTCAGTGCAGGATCCTGCTACACAATGAGCTTAAAAAGGCTTTTGGAGATACTATTTTTTTTTTAGGTTTTGTTTTTTTTTTCAGTTGTTGGTTGGGGGATTTGTTGGTATATAGAGAGCTTTCCTTGATCTACAGCTAATTTTATCAGTCCTAGAACAAGAGTGGGCATGTGCAGATCTCTATAATTATCCACAAAAATCGCCTACAAGAAATTGCTCAATGGTTCAACTAGAAGTGCTGGAAATTAAGTGACTAATTCCAGCAGAGAACTTGATAGGCCTTCATTAAGGAAGCACATGTGCCACGTGTCCCATGACAATCATTAAAAAGATCACATTGTCTAAGACCTCTCAAACTTTCTCCTTCCTCCCTAGTTTCAGGCCACGGTTCCTAGAAGAGCTGGCAAATGGGCATATCTACCAGATCAGACCTAATTACACCTGCACTGTCGTGACAGCTCAAGGTCTGGCTCTCACAAACCAGATTCCCCAGTGATGTGCACCACCAGTGCGCTGGTTTGGACATTTGTTGAAGCTTAAAGAGAGCCAGCTGGTCCTCCAGAGGAAAAACTGGCAAAGGACAGGCACAAACCTGAACCCAAGCCCAGCCACCACGGGCAGCGTGGTCACAGATGTGCGTTACCCACCGCTTTGTCTTCCTGGAGCACAACTTACACTCAGTGGGACCCAGTTAAACTGGGGGTGAAAGTGACATCTGCTCCACACACAGCCGAGAGGTATTTTGAAAGACTCCACTCACCCAGGGGAGTGTCCACCAGGATTGCATTGTAGAGCTCAGCAGGCGTCTGAGCAATGTTCACAGCTTCCATCTGCTCAAAGCTCCCCAGAGGATGACACTTGGGCACCAGTTCAGAGATGGAGCGTTGGTGCAGGGTCCCAGTGATCAGCAGAATGACGTTGTCGATCATGTAACTGTACCTGGAGGAACGCAAGGGGAAGCTTGTCACAATACAAATATAAATAATACCAACCCCAGCACCAGGTGGACACATATCTTCAGTCCCTGTAAACACCTCCAGAAAGACGCACCCTTCCCACAAAGAACTAGTAACTTCCTCAATGTCTCCTCGTCACGCCAGCCTAGGAAAAGGGAGTCAAGCATAGTCTAAGGCTGTGATTTATGCTACAGCTCACCATGTGGGCATCTCCCACCCACCACTGAAGAGTATTAAATTGGAAGGGACTTCTGGAGGTCTCTGGACCGATGTCCTGCTCTAAGCATGGCCAGCTGAGGCTGCTCAGGACTTTGTGCAAAGTCTTTTCCTAACAGCTACTTGGAACTACCCTCGTGGCTATTTGTCTTTCATCCTAACCTCCCACACCTCCAAGAGGAGCCCGTCTCCAGCTCCCCCACACCCTCCCACGGGAAGGAACAGTTGTCTTTCCAGCATTCCCACCACTCTCCTGGTATTGCCACGCTCTGTAGAGAGCATGCGTGGTAGGACACCAGCAAAGAGGGATCTGCAGACAGCCTGGGTCGAGCTCAGCTGCATCACCAGCAACACCGCTCCATCTTGCCAAGACTATGGAGAAAGGGTCCCATCTCTGCAGCCCTGCTCCCTCCCAAAAACAACAGGGTTGGCAGCTTTGGCACGACCTTCATCCACGCCCTCACAAAACTACACACAAGCTTTTTCACACCTCTGTCATCAAAAGCTCGTTTGCATTAGCCCATATTATGAGGTCCCTAATCAAGTCATCAGCTCATATTACACAGGATTAGCAAATCCAAGTCTTTGGCACTGCAGTAATGGGACCTTCAACCTGGAACCACAGCACCCAGCACCAGTGCCACCAGCACGAGCGCTTCATGGCCCTTTTCTCCACAGCTCTCTTGCACTGAGGAGCCCAGAAATGGGCACAGTACTGTAGGTGAGGCCTCACCAGTGGGAGAGGATCACTTCCCAGTCCTCCCAGAGAAGGGAAACACAGCTGGCCTGAATATAAGAAAGGCCTGGGAATATAAGGCCCTCTTCAAGTAGAAGGTCCAAGCAAGAGATCAAGGCATCACATAAATACAAGGAGCTGAAAGGCCTTCTTCAAGTAGAAGGTCCAAGCAAGGGATCAAGGCATCATGTAAATACAAGGAGCTGAGAGGAAAAGTGTCCCCAGCAAGAACCGGAGTGGTGCTCTAGGCACCCTTATCATGACCACAAGCCAACCAAGATGAGAACCTGAAAAACATCAAGAAACATGAGGGTTTTTTTTTCAGTCAGCAGAACATGCCTTTGCAGAAGTCCCTCAGCAGCACAAGGAAGGGGCACAGATGCTGGAAGAGCAGGATATTTGGGATTTTACACTCTTACTGCTTGAGGTCTAACTCTAAGAAGTCAGATGATGGGAAAGACCTGAAGAAGGTCCTCCTTGGCAGGAGCAACTCCAAAACAAAGGGCATCAGGCCTGAACTAGAATGGCAGAAGAAGCAGCACGCTTCTGGAGTTGGAGAACCTCTCTTGAGGTTCAGGCTTCCCACGTGTACTTGGGTACTGAAGAAAGGGAACTCAAGGCCAGCACACTGTGACTGGGGCAAGGGCAGGAACGGCAGAGATCTGCACGTTTATCAGAGAATCATAATTTGTCAGGCACTAGGATGCTGCTGGGTCATTATATTCCCAAGCTAAGAAGGAGGACATAGTGCAGCCCTGTTTCCCTTTGAACCACATCAAAGGCATGTGAGCAGAACCAGTTAAAAGCAGATTTCGGTGGTTTTTATTAGACGGGCTTACTGCCTCTCAACTATGCTCATAGGGCACGTCCACGAACAAATCCACACCTTAGTTCCTCAAACAAGTGCTGCTTATTTGTCCACACCACAGGGCTGGGTAACGCACCTCCTGGCCCCACAGTTTTTGCAGAGAGCCCTTCTGAGTTTGCAGCCCACCTTTCTGGGGACATTCAATCAAGAACCATGGCAATGGCCTCAAGCTTCGCGTACTAGGAAACCTCCTTTTGCCCTTTAATCCACCAGGTCGTTATCCTGCCTTCTGTTTGTGCAGCTCTCACCATGGAGATGACTGCAATCTCCAGGGCAGCAAGAAGGACCTGTTTATGAGAACTGAGGGTAAGTCCCTGGTAAATACGAGCATCTGCAGCCTCACGCAGACGCACCTCCATGAGGTGTGCCAGACCAAGGGTACAGTGGATCATTTCCCAGCTCCACCATCTGCCCTCAAACACGCAAGTTTGCTCAGCGCAACACGGTGGCTTTGGGGAAAGACCGTACGCAGGATTAGTCTCACCAAAGCAAGGCAAGAACACGGGACCAGACCAAGTTTGTTTCTTCAACTCAGCCTACGGTGAAGGAAAAGACAAGGAAACACAGTCATTGTGCACCTCTTTCCTTGGATTACTGTTGCTCTCTGCAAGATGTTTGCAGCTCGCAAGGAGCCCAGCCAAAGTCAACCGTACAAGAGGAACTGAGGGAAAGTGCCTGGAGCCCTTTCTGTTCGCAGGTCTTCAGAGCAGCTAAGCTCCTGGCTTACTGAGTCACACCAAACTTACCCATCATCAGCACAAAAGCCACGGCCAGGTTTGGGGAGAGCAGCCCAAGCCTGACCCTTTTCAAAGAATCATTCAGGTTGGAAAAAACCCTTGGGATCATCAAGTCTGATCATCAACCCCACTCTACAAAGTTCCCCCCTGTACCATATCCCCCAACACCTCATCTAAACTCATCTTAAACTCATCCAAGGATGGTGACTCAACCACCCCCCTGGGCAGCCTCTTCCAGTGTCTGACCACTCTTTCTGTGAAGAATTGTTTCCTAATGGCCAGTGTAAACCTACCCTGTTGAAGCCATTCCATCTTGTTCTATTGCTAATTACCTGTGAGAAGAGACCAGCACCAACCTCTCTGCAACGTCCTCTCAAGTAGTTGCAGAGAGCGATGAGGTCTCCCCTCAGCCTCCTCTTCCTCAAACTAAACAGTCCCAGCTCCTTCATGCACGAGAAGGTCCTGCTTTCAGACTGATGGTCCCAGGAAAGACAATTCCACAGCCACAGCGCAAACCAAGGCTCTCCCTGTTTCATTTACACCCCCTTAACTTGCTTGTTTCCTCATCCTTCAGGGAAGTCTGGGGAAATGCACCAATCTATTGACCAAATGCCAAGGTCACAGCAACTTTACCTATTGAGACTTCTTAAATCTGAGAAGGATTCATCCCTGCGGCAGGAGCAAGGCAGAGGGGAAATTTCTTTCACACACGAGGCAGAAGGGAATTTTCTTATTCAAACCTGCACTGCAGCAGCATTTCAAACCTTTACGATAACAGGACAGCTGCAGCAGGACAAAGGTCTTCTCGTGCCTGCCGAGGCCCAGCAGACACCAGCACCACTACCTACTCCGTCCTGATAGCTCCTGTTTCCTGCAAGGCCAGACCACGTTTATTCACATTCAGTCCCTGCTTCATCCCAGAAAAAACAGTCACTTAGTCAATGGTGACTATGAGGCAAGCCCTCTCCGGCCAGGGCAGCTGGAAAAGCCTCTCTTCATCTGTGGAAGAGGCAAAGCTTGCTTTCCTGTGCCAGGTCCCAACAAGAACGCATCTGCCACCATCAGTACAGCTGGACTAAGACCACAGCAGAGGTCCTGGCTACGCTGGCATTTCCTCCCAGGGCCAACAGATGAGATTTATTACGGTGGCAGCAGTTTTCCTAGGAACCTCCAACTTCTTGTTTAATAGAGCGGCTTTTGTCATCGTCCTCCCCATCTTCTGTTTAGGTTCTGACCAGCTTCAAGTGTTTCAGCTTCCATGGTTAACACAGGCTCAGAATGCTCCAAGAGCATTTTAACCTTCACGAGCTCTCAGTACAGCGGATGAGAGGACCAGACTATGGAACATGTCAGGAAATAAGAGTAGATGGTCACTTGCAACGCCATGAAGTTACACCACCATTACTGCAGCCCGCTTAGCACGGCTTTAATTAAGTGCTAAAACAGCACCTGATCTCAACACCCCAACCTCGCCTCCACAAAGACCCTAGCAAAACCCCCTTGGGCAAGAACGTGTTTTACATGCCTGCTTTGAGCTGTATCTGCCCGTGCAGGGAGATGGACACAAAAGGAGTAGGTGTTCAGCCAGGGCTTCACGTGCACAGTGACGTCCTGCCTCGCTCTTCCTGTCACCCACTGAACGGAGGTGTGGTGTATGCCAGAAATTCACATTCACAGAAACACAATTTTAGTTGATACTGAGAAGCCTCAGTAATATCTCCCAGAAGAGTAGAATTTCTTATTAAGGGAAAGGAAAGAGTCAGCAAGCATAAAAATATTACCTACAGGAGATAAGATGTTGGCCATGGATAACTATCAAGCAGAATTATGGGAGGAGAAAGCACACATGCAAAAGCCACATACAGGTACTTCAACAATCACAGAATGGTTTGGGTTGGAAAGGACCTTAAAGGCCATCCAGTTCCAAGGCCTTGTCATGAGCAGGGACACCTCCCACCAGACCAGGTTGCTCCAAGCCCCCTCCAACCTGCCCTTGAACCCCTCCAGGGATGGGGCAGCCACAGCTTCTCTGGCCAACCTGGGCCAGGCTCTCACCACCCTCCCACCAAACAAGTTCTTCCCCACATCTCAGCTCCATCTCCCCTCTTGCAGGGTCAAACCCTTCCCCCTCCTCCTAGGGCTCCCCTCCCTGATCCAGAGTCCCTCCCCAGCTTTCCTGGAGCCCCTTGAGGGACTGGAAGGGGCTCCAAGGTCTCCCTGGAGCCTTCTCTTCTCCAGGCTGAACCCCCCCAACTCTCTCAGCCCCCCCTCCCAGCAGAGGGGCTCCAGCCCTCAGATCATACAAGGTATGTCTTCCTCCTTTTAGAGTTACTTAAGTACAGCCGCAGATAAATGAGATATGCAAGAAAGATTGCAATGGGAAGGGCTTTTTAGCAGGGGAGCACATAAAAATGCACAAAAGCTCA